TATTTAAATTTAATTTCACCACTATAGTGGTGAAAGGTATTTAGTGCAGTAAAAAATTACTGCAAATATTTGTGGTTTTGTTTATTCCCCTTTTCCGCTGTTATTCTAGAATATTCCGCTATTCATATTCAGCGGTTGAAACTTGTTAAAAAACATCGGGAGTGTGAGGGGGAGCTGTATTTTAGTTTAAGTATATATTATGTTTAAACTGACCCTATAGACCAAAAGCAGCCACAACTTTTTCAGAAATTTTCTATAGACATCATTTTTTCAAACGCAAAAAATTTCAAGCTGGGCAAACCTGGGCAAAAATTGTCCTGATTGTTTAAAGTTTTATTTTCATTTTATTAAACATGCAGTATATTGTGTCTTTTTTATGAAATTTTATATTTTAAATTATTTGATATTGATCCTCCATATTTTATAAGAATATTTTAAAAAATTGGTATATCTGTGACACTGGTAGGAGTGAGAATGTATAAAAGTTTGCAGACTGATTTTTGCCTAAAAAATTGTAATTTTGTGTCAATTTTTGAACTTCAAACCCTCCTTAGACAATTTTTTTTAATAACGGACCTTAAAAATTTAAATCTGGTTTTCACATACTATAATTCAATTTTTAAATTATTTTTATTACAAAACAAACTATGTTTTTGTATTTATGACATGGTACTGGACCACTGTGCAATGGTTATTATAACTATTTTAAATGTGAAACATTTGGCAGTTTTTTTAATACTGAGTCATTTAAGGCTAGAGAACCCATTTAAATAGAAAAACATTTTAAACCATTACTTCAAAAACATGGTAATAGTTTTTTAATTTCTTGAATATTTGTTGGGAATGCAATGTCAAACAAAGTACAAAGTATTTCCAGGTTAGTAGTTTTTAAAATGAAATTGAACAAAACTTTATACATGAATCTGATTTGGGTTATTGAAAGTAATGAATCAGAATTAAATGCGAAAATTTAAACTACTATTTAGTAAAGTTTTTATATCTTGAAGTAAACAACTCTCAAGAAATTTATTAAAAATAAAATGGTTCAGCACTCATTATAATTATTTAAAGGTTGCAGATCAACACTGATCGACAGAAATGATAAAAATTGAAAAGTAGACGAAATAATTTTCTAACAATAAAAATTTACCCTAAATTTTATATTTAACCAAACAGTGTACAGTTTTAGGTGACAATTCTTGTTTGTCTGAACATCAATTCTAAAATCAAATGTGTTCTTAGAAAATTCTATCGATTCTGTGCAATTTTTTTAGAATACTATTTTTTTTTAACATTTAAAAATTTGTAACATTTTATCTCTCATTCATGGGACTGACTATAAAATTACCTCTCCCAAGTATAAGGCAGAACTATTTGCAAAGAACTTTTCTTCTAATTGGACTCTTAATTCTTATATCCATTCTCTTTCTTCCATTCCATTTAAACAGGTAAACCCGTTGTTAGACATTAAAATCACTCCAACTTCTATTGCTAAAGTCATATCTCAATTAAACTCTTCTATGACTTGCATCTGTTGTTCCAATTTTCAAAATGGAAAAAGATTTTGACTCCTCCGAATATTGTCAGACTTCTTTCTGTTATTAGCAAGATATTTGAGTGATTGATCAACAAATTTCTCACATCCCATCTTGAGTCAAGCAACTTACTATCAGACAATCAATACAGTCTTCAATTCTCTCACTTAGAAAGAAACGATTTGATAAGATTTTATTGTGTATTAGATAGAGGCGGAGAGGATGATGCTATTTCTCTTGTCATATCTAAAGCTTTTGACAAAGTTCCGCATGCTGGTCTTCTCCATAAGCTTGCTTTATATGGCATATCTGGAAAGTTCTTGAGATTATCAAATCACTTCTTTTTAACCGCTTTTTTAAAGTCATTCTTGAAAGCAAACACTCTTCTTTGTTTCCAGTAACTTCTGAGATACCTTGTACTCTGTCCTGTTTTGTTTTTTACATTAATGATCTTCCCAACAACCTTACATTTGAAGTGGTTTTTTTTGCTAATGACTCAACTTTATACTTCTGTCTTGACAATAAGTCTTCTCTTTTTGTTCGTTTGAACAGGTAGCCGCTGATCTTGAATCTGATCTCACCTTTGTAACATATAGGGGCTTGCAGTGGATTGTAAAAATAAACTCTACCAAAACTCAGTTATTTACTGCAAACAACTATTGTAATACAGTAAACATTCCTATATTAATGAACTGAGCCTAGAATCACTGAGTCTTCTTCTTGGACTATTGATTACTAATGACTTTTCATGGAAACCATATATACAATCAATTGTTAAGTTAACATTTGCAAAGGTTGCTTCTCTTTATTGTGCTCACCGTTTTCTCTCTCCTGATTCCATTCTTATTCCTCCCTGTATGGAATACTGGGAGGAATAATCATCAAATGGTGCTTCAGGCCTTGTTATGAGATTTCGCTGCGTAACAGAAAAACGAAATGTGAATAAATGTAACTTTACTCAATAAAGATATTTACATTGTTAAAAGTTAAATTACGTCAGTTGCGTTTTTACTTCATTGTAATTAAATTTAAAATGACATTCAAAACTATTGTTAGTCTTTGAAACGAAATAGCTTTAAATTGAACAATATTGTTATAAAAAAAAACTAAAGTTTTAATGTTGATTAAAAAAAAGTCTTCTTGTATTAAAATCTTATACTTATTTAAACTTAATTTTTTTGCTATCAAACATTCGTTTTATGGTTGTTTTTTTTTTAAATCTTTTTTTTTTAATAATTTAAATTTAACACTTGTTTATGGTTGATTTTCTTAAAGGGATTTAAATGTACTTACAACTAAATGCATAGATTGGGTTTTCCTCTTTTTAAAAAAACCTGGTTTTGATAAAATAAATATTTTATAGAAACGAAATTTACTGCTTTTCGGGTTGTTTTTTTTTTTATTTCCATTAAAATATTATATTTTTATCTACAGTGAAACCTAATGTATTTTTACTATTTTTTACTTAATCCAAAAAAAAAAATAGTGTTTTCGGTTTTAAGATGTTATAAGCAGAATTTGTTTTTAACAAATATCATTATAATTTTGAAATTTATTTATCTTATATTTATAGCTCTAGTACTAGTTTTGTTTTTAAAATAAAATAAATATAAGTTCGGCTTTTAAAGAGTTTATTTACTGATCACGTTATTTTTAATAGGTTTGAATTTTGGTTTGTTTTATAAAAAAAATTCTTTGGCAAACGGCTAAGGGAAAACCCAAACATAACATTTATAACTCGAGTTTAAAAGAACTTTTTTGTATTGACGTTATTTATTAACTTGTAGTTATAAAATGAATAATGCGCATCTGTAAATAATGAATGAAACTGTAAAATAATGGAAAAATAAAAACTGGAAAATAATGCGCATTATTCAGACCAGTATTTGGAACTAGAACTCACCTGAAACTTAACTGAAATTAAAATAAAACACTTGCACTTTCTGCTGAGCTTGAGCCTCTTTACCATTGTCATAAAGTTGTATCTCTTTCTCTTTTTGACAAATATTATAATGGTTGCTTTTCAGAGGAGCTACTATTATAATATTAGAGTAGGAGCTACCTACTCTAGTTTCATTAATTAAAACTCTTTCTTGCTTGACTCGTCATTGACCTAAGTCTTATTCGTTTACTGTATCTGACCCTGCATACTCTAAAAACTTTAATTTGTCTAGTTTTATTCCCTGCACTAAAACCCTTAGGAACTTTCTCCCATCTTCATGTTTTTCTGACTCATACAACCTACAACTTTTCAAGTGTCAAGAATTAAAATTAAGGTTGATGATATTCAGTGTCTTGAAAGAACAGAGAAAATAATGATTAGACAGAAGTGCGACTCTTAAAAATAATGTGCAATGTTCTTTGATAGAGACTGGGAGTGAATCTCATAGGGTGCATGTAAAGAGTTAGCAGTCTCAAGAGAAAAAGCATGAGTTAGAGGTACTTGAGTTAGAGAAACTGCGAGACAAAAAAGTTTCAGTTATCTCAATATCACTTTCAATCATATTATTGTTGATCAATTTTGTAAAATATTTCCTTAAATCTTTGTTAAATTTGTTTTCAATATTTTCAACATTTTACAAAAAACCAGGTTATTTGTTAAGCTATTAATAACAAAATCAACCATTAAATTGTTAAGCTCAAATGGAAATATTAGCATTTAATCTATTTTTAGCACAGTTAACACTAGACTTAAAAACTTTTTATTGATTCAGACATTTTCAGTGACGGATCCTGGGTGTATAAGGGGTATGCATCCCCACCACCACCAGAATCTGAAACTCCTAAAAAATCTCAGAAAGAGGTCTTTTTTTTCTTTCTTTTTTTTAGGAGTTGCAAATGTGATACAAAAATATTTCAACATTCTCCCCCCCCCCCCCCCCTTCCAATTAAAAATTTCTTGATCTGCCATTGGACATAGTTAAATATGTTTGAATCAACAACAAATAAATTATTAGATATAATTTCATATATGTACAAATTTAAATATATTTGAATCAAATCATAAAAAAATATTTTTTTATATAATTTATAATCAAGATTAAACTCTCTATCATAGTCAATTATAAAAAAAGGGGAGGGGGAACTGGTTGCTAATCTTAAAATCCTGACAGATAACAAGCATTTTAGTTGTAATTTAATTTTTAATAATACAATTAGGATTTACGTAAAAACATCACTAAAAATTAAAAAGTCAAACCTGCCATGAATTCAAAATGAAATTTAATACATAATTCATTGTTAACTCACTGAATATTGAAACAATACATAAAAATAAGGACAATGTAAATATATAAATTATAAACATATATAATATAATTATAACGATTATTTAAAAAAAAATTGAAATTGATTATGATAAAAATAGTTATATTATTGAATGCTTTTTTAAAACATCCAACGGAAAATAATAATCTATTAGAAAATCTCTCGTTTTAATATAAAAAAGGCTGAAACTCTACATACTTCTTTTATAGTAGCGGTAGCAGAAATTTCAACAGTTTCTTTATTCGTAGCTGTTTTAACATTTATTTTTATTTTATTCTGCTCAAAAGTTTCCTCAACTTTCTCCGCCATCTTAAAAGATTTAGCAAATTTATCAAGAAAAATAACCAAGTTTTATCCGCAAACCGTAGCGAATTCGATTGTTTATCTCCGTCCTTGATATTTAAAATTAAATTTTACAAAATATGATATTGAATAGGAATTGAATAAAACCTTTTGACATTGAATGTTGTTGAAGCATAAATTATGCTGTTTTACTGATGTATAAAATGATGAGAAGATTGCATTCTTTATTTAGAAATTGTAAATCTTTTTGCAAAGTTGCAACTAGGAAAAAGAATTAAAATATCTAACAAGGATACCCGCAGTTTTTTTTGTCTATGTTTGAGATTAGATTGGTCTAAAACGCATGTAAAAACATTGTAAAACTTGATTGTTATTACGATGTAAACTCAATGTTAAACTAATGTATATAACCTAATGTTTATACAATGTATATGGATCAACGTTGATCCTATTTATACAGTATAACAGAGTTGTTAACAAGGCCAAAAGTAGTGAGGCCAAGACAAAGGCCAAAAGTTACAAGGCTAATGCCAAGAGTTTTATGGTCGAACCCAAGAATAAGAATTTTGAGATCAAGACCTATGCAAACGTTTCCCGGTGGGAAATCGGTTAGCGAATAGCGAGCTATAATCGTAACAATAATGACAGCGATTTGGCCATAAGGATCACTAGCTTTTTAAGTTAGCGAAAAGCTAACTCAAAAAAGAGCAAAGGCTTAAATTTTTAACAAAACTGTAGGTAACAATAGCTGTGACAATAAACCACATGTTGTAAAAATAAACCCTAGTTATCATAAAACTGTTTATAAATTTTTTTTGTTGTTGTTGTAACTTGGCAAAACTATCAGCGTAATACAGCGTGGTCGGAAATTTTTAATAAATATTTGCAGATATTTTTTCAAAAACTTTTACAATATCCGATTATTAAAAATAATTTTATTTTTGATTTATTCTTTTAATTTTTTTATCTTTAACATCTTTGCTTCCAACAAGGCTGCAAGCAACCACTAATTAGAGTTGGAAGTTACTGGAAGAGAAAAAATGAAGATTATAGAGCAAGATAACGATTGACAGAAGACTTAATAGATTGCAAATTATATTTACTATTATTATTATTATTATTATTATTATATTTTCTTTGCCGTATAATTAAATTTACAATGAGAAAAAACCATTCATGTATAAAAATTGGCCGGAGCAAGAAGAAGACATAAACTGTCTTATCGCCAAGCCCCGTTTACATTAACGTCACAAAGTTACAAGTTAAAAACTAAAAGGTTAAAAATTGAAGTACAATACAATATTAGTTCGACAAATATAAGACACAAGTAATAAATCGAATAAATGTTATTTGTCTGTTCAAAATTAATAGTATATATATTTTTTATTATAATAAGAAATAAACAAGATACACAAGACAATAGTAAATGAGTAGTGATGACTTTTTCAGGTTTAATTATTTTAGGTGATTTTAGAAGAAATCTTTAAAATCGAAAGTTTTTTCTAATAGAAAATGTTTAGATTCTCTTTTGAATTGTTCTAAGGAGATGCCTCGAAGAATTTTATTTTTAATTATATTTTTTAAAAAACCTTTCCATATAAATGGTCCCCGGTATTGAATTTGAAATGAATTGAGTTTTAAATAAGATCTTGGAATAACAAAATTATCAGATGAAAATTTAGTGGGATATTTATGAGATATTTCGGTAAAGTAAGACTGAAATATATTAGGAGATAACGCATGTTTTGTTTTAAACGTAAATAGCATAACTTGGTATATATTAAGTTTGTAAATATTAAGCACATTAAGTTTCTTTAAAAGAGGTTCACCATTAACAGTTCTGTTAACGCCAAAAATAATCCTACAAGCATGTTTTTGTTTGCTATAAATTTTTTTGAGCTTCCCATAATTGGTACTTGCCCATGCAAGATTACAATAGGAAAGATAACTATGAAAAAATGAGAAATATATAATTTTTAAAGATTCCGTATTAAGAAAAGGTTTAACTTTATATAGCATTGAAATATTTTTGGAGATTTTATTTTCAATAGATCTAATATGATATTTCCATGATATATTTTCATCTAATATCACTCCTAGAAAGTTAATAGTTGACTCTCTTTTAATAATAAATATGAATCAGGAAAGCAAGATTAAGGAAGCAAATTCCAAAGAACTGATGTTCGAGGAAAAAAACATAACGAATAAGAGTTTTCGGAGCACTTAGGAACAGTCACAATTTGTAGAAAATAGTGACTGTTCCTAAAAAAATAGTATTTGTAGAAAAGAGAAAGAGAAGCAACAATGCGACGATGTGAAAAAAATTTAGTTTTATCTAAATTAAAGTTAACCAGCCATTATGAGCCCCATGCTGTAGCAGAAGTGAGATTATTTTCAGGCTCAAATGCCCCCTCCAAGTAATTAGAGAGTGTCGGCTTATTATTATGACAAGAATAAATGGTAGTATCATCAGGAACCAATGCAGCTTCAGATGTTAGAACATCTGGAAGATCGTAATTGTAACTTAAAACGAGCATAGGGCCAAGGATTGAACCTTGTGGGACCCCTGAGGTTACAGAATAAGAAGAAGAGTGCTGTCCATCGACAACTTTTATTCAACTATTGGAAAAGAAGGACTCGATAATCTCAAAGATGTTACCGTAAGAAGAAAGCTTATGGAGAAGATCAGCATGTCAAACTCTATCAAAAGCTTTAGAAATGTCAAGAGCAATGGCCTTAAATTCTCCACCTTTATCTAATATACGATAAAACCTATGCTAGGATATTTCCAGGATTTTTCAAGGAAATTTTGGGTTATTCAAGGATATATTGATTTTTTCTCAATAATAAAATGGACCTGTAAATGCAAAATATATTGCCTTAGAACAAAACAACTAAATACTTATATTTGAATATGCATATAAATCATATATACATACATATAATTGTTTGGGTTAAATATTAATCATATATACATACATATATTTATGTAAAGTTTGTACAAATAAAATTGTACAAACTCATACAAACATATACATGTGTATATATATATATATATATATATATATATATATATATATATATATATATATATATATATATATATATATATATATATATATATATATATATATAATCTTTAAAAGTCATATCTTGTTATACGATATGTTTATAAATATATAAATTGATCTCAATAAAAAAGGCAGCGTGTAACTATTTTTTAAATATATTTTGATATAATAATATATTAATGATATTTTGCTGACCTATTGGGGTCAGTGTCATCAAGTAATTGATGACGCTGACCACAATATTATATCTATCTATCTATCTATCTATCTATCTATATATATATATATATATATATATATATATATATATATATATATATATATATATATATATATATATATATATATATATATATATATATATATATATATATTGTATGATATTTTGTATTTGCAATAAAATACAAAAAACTCTTGTACGTATAAGAGTGCTCAATAATAAATAAATAGGATTTATTTATATTATTTAATAGAGCATTATATTAATTTATAAAAATAAAGAAAACAACTTTTTATGGTACTAATGATTTCATGCCTAAAGGCAATCATCAGCCATGTAATACAAAACAAGAAACAAAAAAAACCGTTAAAATATAAAGTTACAGTGGAGTATGCTCCGTTGTCAAAACAAAACAAAAACAAAAAGATAAGAAAAAACTAAAAACGGCTGCCTAATCACCCGTATCGAAATTCGAAAGGAGGAATTTGCTTTTATGTCTACATTTTGATACTAATTCATTCCTTTTATTTAATAAGTTATCAGTGGTGTACGATATTATGAAATACTTTTCGTATAGACATAAGTTGCATCGTTTTATTGTAGGATTGTAAGATCTACAACGTTTTAAAATTTTCCATTTAATTGTCGGGTTTACTCCATTTTTTTTTAACTTCCATACTTCCTTAGACAACTCAGTATCGTTTTTATATTTTTCGATGTTAAAAGATTTTGTAAGATTAGCGTATCTAAGTTTAAAAGCAGTTTCACTTACTCCAAAATACACTTTTTCAATCCCGTCTGGAGTGCCTGGATATAGAGTGGCTTGATACACTATGTTATTAACGAGGCACTGTTGATTTAAAGGGCACTTGCTTTTAGTAATACAATTGCAACTTTTATCTGATTCTGGGGGGATGTTTTTCATAATATGACGGTTATGAAAGTTAACGATTGATTTAATGTTTGGCATACAACTGTAACTCACCTTTAGAGTATTTCTATTAAAAATCTTGTGGTATTTATGGCCAACTGGAAAGTGCTTGTCAATTAAATCCAAAAATATTTTACCAATTTTAGCAGAAACATTTTTACTAAATGGGGGGTTAAACCAGATAATGTTGCGCTTACGGTTTTTTGGTAGAGGTTTAATGAGTTTCGGAATATAATTAAGTTTAAATTTGTAACCAGACTTTTTTAATGCATCCTGATACAAATGAGCAGAGCTTCGAAAGCTAGTGTCATTAGATGAATTAGCTGACAACCTTAATTCTATAGAACGAGGAAGTTGCTTTATTATGCTAGGAGGGTGATTGAAATCAACATGTATATAATTTAGTTCATTGATTGGTTTACAAAATGGTCTAAAAGATTGATCATTAAGGTTAAGTGTTACATCAAGGAAGTTCACAACTTTCATGTTACATTGTATAGAGATAGAAAGATTGTTATTTTTAAAAATTTGAATAATATGTTTTTTTATCGTGTCCATAAGGTGGCCACTAGTATTTTTATAAACCGCTAACCCATCATCTCAGTATAAGCCAAAATCTGTCTTGTTATAATGCTGGGATAGCTGAAAAAGAAGAAAAATTCCGACAAGCTCA